TGAATGTGCGGTCACGTTTTCGCAAAGTCGTCTTGCACACCATGAAGAACAGCATTTACTTGCTTGGCCCAAAATTGCTCTGCTCACAAGCCTGTGATATATTTAAGGAAGTATATCCTGGACAGCAGTCTCCTTCCTTACCACAGATGAAGACCTTGCAGGAGGGTATAGATCAGGGAACAGCCAAGTCTTCTTTGGGCATATGGTCAACAAAAGCTGATCACTATAAGTCTGAACAAAGACTAAATGAGTTTTCTTTTCAGGATAAAAGTCAAGTGGTTCAGTCTAACAGCAGTTGTGGAGGTCAGTCGACCAAACCAAAAACAGCTACATTGGAAAGGTTGGAAAACCCTAGATCTACTAAGGATGAATTAAGCAAGACAAATGCACTAAGCCAATTTGTTAAACGCAGAGAAGACGCAACAAGACAAAAAGATGATGGGCCAACTTCTTTACCACTTGAAGCACACAAAAAACAAGATACCTCAATGACTTTGAAACAGACCAACCTGCTGTCACATTCCGCTTCGGAGCAATGCACGTGCGGAGCAAATAATACAAATGTGAAACGGACCACCTGTGGTGTCATCCTTTGTTCTGACTGCCTACAACTGCATAAGTACTGCAGAGTGTGTGGAAAAGAGGAGATGAATACTCAGAAGAAGGTGCTGGGGGATCCGGTTCAAAGTTGTAGCTCAAAATATACACAGCAGGAATATCAGACTCGAGAGCAGCATTCAGGACAAGAGGACAGCAAAGCACATAAGGGCATCCAAGGCACTATGACATGTGTGGAGATGACTTTGAGTCTTCCAGGCTATAACAAATACACAACGGCCAAGATCACATACTGCATATCTGATGGCATACAAGGGGTATTATACAATTTATTAATTAAAGCATCCAAGACATATTGCTTACTATTGTGCAAAATATACAAAATTATTATAATATAATATCGCCTTGTAATTTCCTCGTCTTACACATATCTTCTAGGACAAGGATCCATGTCCTGGGTCACCATTCGAGGGTGGTCAATTTGTGGCTTATCTGCCACTCGACCCAAAGGGTCGGAGTTTATTGCCCTGCCTGGAAAAGGCATTTAATCAAGGCCTAACATTTACTGTTAGTTCAAGCAAGAAGGCTAGTGGTGATGCAAGAGTAACCTGGGGCAGGATCCCCCACAAGACCAGGGTGGATGGAGGGAAGAGTGGGTGAGTCCAGATGCTAAGCTGAACAAACGCTAAGCTTGCAAAGATAATTATGCCATGGCTGGTGGCAAAGACATGTTAATGTGTGATTTCTATTATTTTAGAGAGCACTAATTATTTAATTACTTATGCTTTTCTAATACTTTTAATAATAATTTTAGCAAGGATGTGTTGATAGTTAGCTTAACCACAGGGGTGTTTGCCCCAACTACAGTGTCCACAAACTAGGATCTCTTTTGTAGTAGAGAGCAGCAATTTTGATTATTAGGTAATAATCTGTTAGGATTGTATACAAATAAAGTACATGACTGTGACAGGATATCCATGGCATGGCTAAAGGATTAGTTCACTTCCAGAATGAAAATTTCCTGACAATTTACTCACCCCCACGTCATCCAAGATGTTCATGTCTTTCTGTCTTTAGTTGAAAAGAAATTAAGGTTTTTGAGAAAAACATTCCAGGATTTTTCTCCATATAATGGACTTCAATGGGACCCAATGGGCTGAAGGTCCAAAACTGCAGTTTCAGTGCAGCTTCAAAGGGCTCTACATGATCCCAGCCGAGGAATAAGAGTCTTATCTAGCAAAAGAATCTGTCATTTTCTAAAAAAAATAAAAATGTATATACTTTGTAACCACAAATGCGCGTCTTCCACTAGCTCGAGATGTCACGCATTACGTAGTCGCGTTGGAAGGACCTTACGTCACCTACGTCACGTGTAACCTTTCCAACGAGACTACGTAATGCGTGAAATCGAGCTAGTGGAAGATGCGCATTTGTGGTTACAAAATATATACATTTTTATTTTTTTTAGAAAATGACAGATTCTTTTGCTAGATAAGACCCTTAGAGCCATTTGAAGCTGCCCTGAAACTGCAATTTGGACCTTCAAGCCGTTTATAACACGTTCAACCCGGTCCCATTGAAGTCCATTATATGGAGAAAAATCCTGGAATGTTTTCCTCAAAAATCTTAATTTCTTTTCGACTGAAGAAAGACATGAACATCTTGGATGACATGATGGCAGTGAGTAAATTATCAGGACATTTTCATTCTGGAAGTGAACTAATCCTTCAAACATTGCTAGCTGAGGTGTCATGCTTTTATTTTTATTTTTTCAAATTCCAGTTACATTTCTAAATTTAAATTAAGGTTAACAAAAAAGGAATCATAATAATTTGAATTTGATGAGGAAGTTGAATTAAATTCAAATAGATTTATAGAACTTTAATTTTAGCTGACCTTTAACTGTAATTTTCTTAACAACAAAACAATCTAAATAGTGGCATGACAACCTTAGTGAAGAAAAATATACTAAAATGTATTTGAAATTTAAAAAAAAAAATTGTGCTAAGTATACTACAGATACATTTACATATTTGTGTGCTTAATAAAATACCCTCCAGTTGTACTTTTGGTATACTAAACTGGTATACTTAAAGTCTGCTAAATTGGAACATCTAATTTTGGCCTTAATGCACTTTAATTGTGCAGAAGTAGTGCTGAGGTCTAACTAAAGTCTATACTTTAGTTAGTATTAAAGGCAGAGTAAGTGATTTCTGGTAGCCAATGTTGATATTTGAAATCACCAAAACAAACACGCCCCTACCCCAAAAGGGTCTTGTCCCTATTTTGATAGCTCCGCGCAGACGTTGTCTTTTGTTTTTTATCCGCCATCTCTATCTTTCTGTCGCTCGGCTCAGCTAATGTCCGTCCCATGCACTGAAAGCTCTCTCCTCCACATCACGAGTAGACACGCCCCTTATTGCTGATTGGCTACAAGTTTGTTTTGCTATTCGGCCCGAATCAGTTTTCTAAAGTGTTTTTGAAAAATCACATACCCTGCCTTTAACTATAAGACTATACTACATAAGTATCTTTGATTGTGCTAAAGTGGAACAATTGCATATATATATCCTTATTAATAGTGATATTAAAACACATTTTAGGCATAATATTAAGAAATGTGTATTGTGCACTAAAGAAATACTCCAAATAAAGTTTAATTATAATTTTATATCATTAAGTCTTAAGTGATATGCCAATAAATATGTTAATGGATGTGAAGTATACTTAGTATGAAATAAAAAAAAATTGTAAATAAATTATTTTATGTTATTTATAAATTATGGCATAGATTTTTTTTTACTAGGGAAAACCTTGTAAGCAAGCTTTAAAAATGTTTAAAAAAAAACTGTAGGCCTGAAAGATAAATCGAAATTTAGTTTATTTATCATATGTAATAAGTGTGGAGAAAGAATAAATTTCTCAGAATGAATTAATTTGATATTTAAAATATCCAATTCAACTTTTTGTGTGAACGTGAAATATTTGTTTGTGTGCAGCAAAGGATATCCAGACTCTACATACCTGACTTGCTTGTGTGAGGCACTGGTGGCTCATGGGATTGAAGGAGTACCTGCAATTAGTCAAGATCAAGTCAAATCCTGACCTTGAGAATAACATAAGACCACAAATAAGTAGTAAACTGTGTATTACTTCTTTTGATATATTTCCTTCCTAGAAATGTAAATCAAATAGCAATCAATGTAAATCAGGATCTAAATACTAATACTGATTGTAAAAGATTACCTAATCGTTTTATTTTCATTTTTATGCAGTATTTCTGTTAACGGTTATTTGTGGGATTTTTTGTTTTGTTTTGTTTTTTTGTACTTTTATACTCATTTTAGAGTGCCTTTGTCAATCTATCATGTTTTTTATCTTTATCGATGTAGTGTCAGAAATGCTCAACATAATGCTCTGTATATTCTGAATCAGTTGAGCATAATTAAATAATGATCTTGTTTTAGAGGTTGTGTGTTTTTTTTAGTCACTAAATTCAGCCTTCATCAGCCCAGCACATCTCTGATCTGTCAAATTGTTTCATTTACTCAGGCTTTTATGTGTGGTATGAATATTGAATCGGTGTATTATTTTGTTGTAAAACCATAAGGAAGGTGCATCATAATATATAATAGATTTTGAGTAAGCAGAAGGCAGCTCACTAGATTTTTTTTTAATGCCCTATAGCCACAATGCTATAGGGCATTATGGCTAATGCAAGGGTGTTCTGAATAATTTCTAGGGGGTTATCTACACTAAACTCTTTTCTAATATTACCTTCTTAATTATAGCTTTGGTTGAAGTACTTAATATTTTATTTGTAATTCATATTTTGATTTTACCGCAAAAAATAATTGGTGGACCCCCAATTGAATAAACTTGCTTAATGATACGACTCATTTGTCTGTAGGCTGAATAAAATACTTTCCAGTAAAATGAGTTTTACTGTACTGTATATGAATCATCAATATTTTCCTTCTTCCCACTGTATTAAAAACAAGCACAGCAACATTCCTGCTCTTTTTCCTCATGTGTCAAAAGGAATCTGAGCAACAGGGTTTTCTCTACCTTTCTTTTTTGAATCTGTCCTAATATAACAGATGCTGGAGATTCGCTCAGCTCTGAAGACTCTGTGGACGGCCTCCATCAGGCAGTACTGGGATCAACAAGAAGAGACGGTACAACTGCCCTGAGTGCAGAAAAACCTGCTCTCTGACTGCTACAGCTATCAGGAAATGTAAAGAGACAGCTTACTAATTTCACCCGCAAACAAACCATTATGTCGAATGTAGTGTCTGCAGGACAAAATCCAACTGAGCGATAGACGGACGGACGATAGATAGGTAGACAGACAGATAGATAGATACAGTAAATGTTCAGCATTTGTTTAAAACAAACTGTCGATATTGTGTCAGTTTTAATGACTTTACTATTATTCTAAAATGTGGGTGAGAAAAAAATAATAGGTATGTCAAAAGTTTTGGCTGTAAGTGTATTTTCTCAGGGAAAAGCAATGCAAAAAATACTTTGTCGACAGGGTTGAACCTGTCAAACTGGTTACTGTACTCAAACAGATACCGGTCTACTGGGATAAAAATGGCAGCAAAGACACTGGTTACAGTTGCTCTCAGTGCAGGAAGACCTTCTCGCCTCGACCTGTCCTCAACAAAAACACAATGTTTGCAGAAGTGGTGGAGCGGTTTAAAAACACAGGCCTTCAGGATTCTCCACCTACACGTTATGACGGACCTGGACACACGGAGAGAGAAATCTGCACAGCAGAAAACTCCAAAAACGTCAAGATGTGTCCAGAAAGTGAGGATTTGTGCTGCAGGGCCCACCTGAGATATCGTAACAATGGCTATCCCAGAGAAAAGCACACAGTTATCGTTGTAAGCGGGGAACCCAAAGGAAATATTTGTTTGCGGCACAACAGGCTATTGGAGTTTTCTGGACACACGGAAAGAGAAATCTGCACTGCAAAAAACTCCCAAAATTTCAAGATGTGTCCAGAAATTAAGGATTTGTGCTGCAGGGCCCACCTGAGATATCAGAACAATGACTATCCCAGAGAAAAGCGCACAGTTATTGTTGTAAGCGGGGACCCTAAAGGAAATATTTGCTTGCATCACAACAGGCTACTGGAGTTTTCTTGTCGGACAGACAAACGGTTCATCTGCCCACTGTGTCAAAATGAAGCCCACCCAGGACATGAAGCGTTTTCAATGGCACCTCAGAAGACGAAAACACTAGAGTCCAGTACGACTCTAGAGAAACGAGAGCACAGGAGTAAAGACAAAACAACTGGACATGGTAGGGGACAAAGTAATAAAAGGGCTCATGGCACTGGGCATAGACACAGACACGGGAGCGGACAGGCCCGGGGCTCACATGCTAAAAGAGGGCATGAAACACACCGGCATATAAGTAGTGGACACAGAGGTAATTCGCATGGGCACAGTCATGGTGCCGGACACCGAAAGAGACAACTGGGTATCATGGTCATGACAGGAACTGGCACTAGAAGAACCTCTGCAGATAACATTAGAGTGCTTTGACCCTTGATTTTGAGCAGTGTTACAGATGCCATGTTTTCTAGAGGAATGTTGCTTCTACTAGATTCAGACATCGACTGAAAGCTCACGTCATTTCTTTTGTGAGTCACAGCAATCCATTTCTGGATACATTTAATGTTTATTCTATTATATTACTGAATAGTATTAATTAGTGTAACAATTATGTTCAACTGCAAGAAAAACCTGACACCCCTAAAATAACTTGTACATATAGATGACATCTTACTAATGTGAAAAACAACCTGTTTTGAAGAGTTAAGATGTTTTTTAACATGTATAAGGGATGTTTTTCTTTGCAGCTGCTTAATTACTAAAATGATTTGATTTTATGACTTGGTTTCAAATGAAATTTCATGACCTAGATAAAGATTAAAAAACAAGATTTCTAAACGTGCACTCAAAACAAAAATCAATTTCTTGCAGTTTGAGAAAAGACTTGAGAAGAATAGTATTGAGTAAGGAAATTTCCATTACATTTCCTGGCCTAAAAATCCCTGATATTTCCAGAATTTCTTCTCTTTTTGAATTAACTGAATTATTTACTGCGTTTGTGTTACTTCAGTTTGGATATATATATATATATATCAGAGTAAGAAAAAAAACTTAATTTAGATGGAAAACAAGTAGTTCTTACCACATCAGTAAACAGGAATATATATATATATTTTTTTGTTTTTTTGTTTTTTTTGGTTAAAGAAACATCAATTGTTTTTGTGTCAAAATGTCTTGTTTTTAGAATTTTTAGATATTTATAGTGAAAGGCTAGGCAAACATGCTATGAAAAAAAAATATTTGCGGTGTATAACATATCGTGCGTTTTTTCACCCTCGACACGTAATGTAATATCACACTGGAAAACAAATATTAAACTGATATCCCAGTGAGAACGTGTTGTGAAGGACAGAACACTGTGGGTTGTTAAAAACGCGCGGAAAGCAGATCAGATCAGATTATGCTACTCTTTTGACATTACTTCAGTTGAAATAAAATTCCTTTCAATAAATCTAAATAATGTGTATCTCTCTATAGGCATGTATGGCTGAAGCATGTTTAATAACGACTCTGTAAACACCTCTTTTAGTTACGCTCTTTAATTAGTCCTGGAAAACATGTGAGGCAAAATGGTCACATCACACACAGAAGCGTTATGAACTCTACGGTCCTCATGACCACACGCAGTCCAACCAACCCAGAGTCAAGCACAGAAACAGCAGCACTTCAGATTCTCAAAATTAAATGAAGAAAGATTTGATGGAGGGTTTCAAGAAACAAACAACACAAACAACCCATGGTGCTTCTCTGACGTGTGTGGAGGGGGACGGAGCATTAATGCTGACGGATAGGGGCGGGGTTTGAATTTAGAACCAATCAGTGAACAGGAATGCAAGCTGGTGCCTCTGATTGGCTCTTCAGTCAAAAAGCCAAGCAGGAAAGTTGGAACAGTAATTGACAGAGTGCAAACGGAGCCTTTCCTGACTCGAGATCTTTCTGAAACGTCTCCAAAGTCACCATGCATCTTTATTAGCGCAAGTATGCATCCGAATGTACATAAAAAGTGCATCAAGACAGTGTGATGTGTGCAGAGTAGATTTGCAAGACAAAGATAGACCTGTTACGCTGAGCATGTGTGGGAAACAGTCCACAATGACTCACTGTTTCTCATATGTGCCAAAGAGAAGGCAAATACATCTGCTGTATAATTCAGAGCTAAAAGCCTTTCAAAGCTTCATTTCATTAGTGGTTTCGTTGATGCATAAATTAATAAATACATTTCACTGTAGGCACACCAAATTGCACTACGTTTGTGTATCTAATATTGTAAATAAAGTCTAGGCGTGATGTGATTTAGCGCTGGTTAAGGCTGCATTTGCAGCAGGAATTCTGCACTCTGCAAACCTGAGGGGCGTTTCCTGTTCTGGGAAAGCTATTGGATTGAGAGACTGAGGAAGGAAGCAGCTTGGCTCGACACGAGCCTCTCTCTGGCTCCCAGTCGCACAATTCCAGATCCACAAGAGACACTCGCACCTGCAGCTGAGCTCATTGTGGAGCCAAAAAAAAAAAAAGGGGAAGAATACTCCAAACCATCATGCTGTAACAATGTCTAAACCTTGAGAGATTTAAAGTGAGCATTCCCAACCCAGATGTCATTGTTTTTGGGTGTGGGTGCTCCGAATGGTCTCCAGCGGTGATTAACGTTAGCCAATGCAGACAGAACTATACGGACGAAACCGAATCGACAGCCGCTCTGATGAGTTCCAGATGAGTTCCAGAACCGGAATGTCGCTGCTGGATCATCTGGAAATAAAAACACAGCAGGGTTTGCTTGTGAACGGGGCTCTAGGACTAGATGTTAAAGGCATAGTTCACCCAAAAATGAAAATTCTGTGATTATTCACTCACCTTCATGTCATTCCAAAAAAGTATGACTCGTTTGCACAAAAATAAGATATTTTGAAGAATGTTGGTAACAAAACTGTTTTGGTTACCATTGACTTCCATTGCACGGACAAAAATATATTTTATGCTTCACAGATAAAGGAAGTCACAGGTTTGAAATGACACGAGGGAGAATAAATCATTTTCATTTTTAGGTGAACTATTCTTTTAGGATCGCGATTAATTACTGTACATTCACTGAGAAACAAAAAAAACGAATAACAACGAATGGCATGAAAATGCTTGTGGCCCGAAACGGCTTGGAAAACTACACAGACATTAATCATTTGTTCTTTCTGACTGCTGCTGGATCTTTTTTGGGGGGGGGTTACCTCGGGTCATAGGTTAGAAAATACGCCTAATTACCTACACATGATACACAAAAGTGCATCCGTAAACACCAGCAGACCTGATCTGGGGGGTTTCAGATCAGTGGGAATGAGATTCCAGCCCTTCAGGACAGCAGAGCTGAGACGGCCTTGGGGACAAACTAATGTCTACGTGCGTGTATATGCATTCACCTGTAAACATGCGTGGAGGCAATCTGGTGTTGGTCTACGACTGAGGCACAGTGAGAACGAGAGGTTTTGCATGGATTCGAACATTAGCGGAAAACAAAAAAAGTCAGAAATCAGTCAGCACCAATAGTATTCAGGGCATAGTCGACCACACACGACAGGAGCGAATTCAGAATCTCAAGATCTTTTACTGCAAGGTCATTTTGACAAACCACAAACGGTAAGGGTTTTTTTTCTTCATCTTTCATTCTTTGCTTTTTTCTTTTTTTTTTTTTCTTTAATACAGTAAGCACAGTTATAGCGAAGGTCATGCCTTCACAAAAGTTTGGCACACTCGGTCAGGACCAACGAAATCACATGATTCATCACATTTTAGAGGAACTGCAGCTAAGCCTTTTGAACTCAAACTACTGAAATGCAGACCACAAAAACATACAAAAAAAAAAAAATTTCCAAAAAGGACGGATATTTTTCACTGAAGTGTTAGTTAGAGCCACCATCCAAAGGAACACAGGAAGAGAACTAGCAGAACACAACAAGAAACTGAAACTCAATCCCTCGGATCCGGAACTAAAAACCAGATCGGGATTCAGTAAATTGGAACACGGTGACTCTTCAGACTATTATGACTGTTCCACACCCAACCCAATGCATTCTGGGCCTGAACGGTTATCTGCACTCATAGTGATTATGTAAACACGAGCATGCATCAAACAATATGGCCTTCTGAGCATCTCCATGCATGTTCAAACACTTGTTTCTTGGTTTTAGAGGCGCATAAAGAGTGAGTGGGTTGGTGGGAGAACGAGAATGTGACTGAAACTGAAGGTCTGAGTGAAAACCCGGACGGGATTCAGAGATACGGTGGATCAGGTGTGGAACCGCCATTCCCTATAAGTGCAAGCTGAGTGCAAATGATAGCAAACCAATGCAGGCTGTTCATGGGGGCCGGAATATTCAAGAGTGATGGTGAGAGTTAGAAACTGACAGAAGAGGAGAGAAAGAGACAGTTAAAATGCCAGACGGTAGCATAAGGTAGCATGAGGGAGGTAGAGAGACAGAAAGAAAGAACATTTGAATCTAAATCTGACAACAAACCTGAGGACAGACGGTCAAATACATACTCGCACACAACAAACGCACATATAAAAGAGGGGATCTGGTTTTGTTTCACATAAGAAAGAGACAGTTAAAATGCCAGACGGTAGCATGAGGGAGGTAGAGAGACAGAAAGAAAGAACATTTGAATCTAAATCTGACAACAAACCTGAGGACAGACGGTCAAATACATACTCGCACACAACAAACGCACATATAAAAGAGGGGATCTGGTTTTGTTTCACATAAACACCCACTGAAATGAACCAGACTCACAATGTGAAAAGAAAGAGAGTGGTCAGCAGGTGTCTTGATTACTTGAATGATAGCACTGCAATGCATTTAAATCACCAGCGGAGGCATTAGATTACTGCTCTCTGAGAAACAGGAGGGGGAGGAGCCAGAGGGTTTGATTGACATGTCTAAGAGAGGGTGTAGCCACATTCCTAAATGCATTAAAATAAAACTACCAAGGTTTATGGTATAAAAGCTGCTGCTGTGGAGATGTGAGTGGTTGTATGTTTGTGTCCATCTGGGATGTGGGGGTGAGACCTAACTGTCATCCCTAACTAGCCTAACTGCTGTTGCTATGCCAACCACAATGACGAAAAGGGTGAACAGTGAGAGAGAGAGACAGAGAGAGCGGAGTTAGAAAAGCCAGATGGAGTGGAGATCATATTTAAATGTGAACTGCAGGTCAACATTATCGTGTGGGTAAGCCGTCACGGGAACGAGGGGCGGAAAGCGTCAGGATCCTGAGGAATCCTGGAGGAGGTTCTGGAATGAAAGGCCACTCCTGTCTTTATGAGTCCACATCTGACACAAGCGAAACGATGGGAAAAAGGCTGGGAGAATGTTCTCTATAATTGGTCCTGCTTACCAAGCTAGACTCATTAAAACCCTGGCGCTTGCCCCGTTTTAATGACATGGCACATTGATCAGCTGAAGCCTAAAACACCCTTGTTAGTTTTTGGAGTAACGTCAGCGACGTGTTCAGTGCACATGTGTGCGCATGAAAGAAGCTTGTTGTCCC